GGGGCGGCCCTCCGGCCCCGGGGGACGGGGGCCGGCCGCAGCAATGGCAGCTCAGCTCGCCCGCAGCCAGCCCTGGTGCCCCCCGGTCTGCGCCAGGCCCCAGGGATGCTCGGAGCAGCCGCGAGGCTCTGCCAGGGCACCGCGTCCGTCTTCTGCCCTGAACGACCCTGCCTACGGGAAGGGGGAAACGTCGCCCCTCAAAATGGCTTTTATCCCCTTCTTTCCACCCCCGCCAGCCCACGAGCAAGAGGAGGCAGAGAAATGGGGTGTCGGGGATGCAGGGCGAGCCAGCGCTGCTGGCAAGGACGGGCAGACCCTCGCCGTGTGGGCTCTGCGGCGGGAGAGGTGCCCCGGGAGGCCGACCGGGGCTGGAGGCTAACGGGGGACGCGGGTTTTCGTGTCCCGTGTCCCGCGTCCCTGCTCCTCCCTGGTGAAATGGTCCCGTTCCCGGCTCAGCGCTGCTGGCCCGGCTTCCCCTCCAGCCCGGGCACCGCGCGGGCACTGGTCCCACTCCTGTTTCTTGCTGGTTGCAATGTCCTACATGCTTGCCCGGGGTTCTGCACTCTGATTGCCCAGAAAGCGTTGACCGGCCTTCGGCGTGGCAGCGCCCGGTCGGGACTGCCGCTTGGCCGTAACCTCCGGCCGGTGCTGCTGGGTCCCTGCCAGCAGCAGAGCTGGCTGCACCGATACCGCCTCCCTGGCAATGCCGCTCAGCGTCGCGCGATGACAGCGCCACTGTTGCTTCCCCACGGACGGTGGAAGGACCTCCGGGTCTGTCTTGGATCGGTGCTTTTACGGGAGGGAGCCCCGGTGACACCGAGGCACCGAGCGTGGGTGGGGGAGAGGAGAAGTGGCGGCGGCGGGGGGGACCGGGCCCGTTGGCTCGTGGCCTTCGCAGGACTCATCTCGGCGAGAAGCTCCCTGGAGGGTGCGCGGTGACCCCCAGCGCTGCGGCACCTCCGGGCCGCCGGAGACGGCGGTGGCCGCATGGGGATCGCAGGGGACAGGGATGGAGGGAGCGAGGCGGCGGCTGGCCGGTGGTCACCACACTTCCGTGGGCAAATAATCCCTTAAGGGAGATTACCCAGCTCGGGAGATTACTGGCCCTAATCCCATAAGGTCGTTTGTTACCGTTAACTGGGGAGAGCTGCTCCGTCTGCGGCAGCCTGCGCTAAAATAAGGCGGCTTCCCCGGGAGCGGTGGGAGCGAGCGCGCGGGCACAGTGTCCTGGCCGGGCTGGGAGTGATTCACGCTCAGGCTGGATTTTTTCCTGACATCAACCAAGAGGCAGCGGGATTGGGGCTGGATGCCAGTGCTGGAAAATGCTCCTTTTATCGGTGGGGGTGGCTGGCTGGAGAGCTACAGACGGGATCGGGGGCTGCCTGCTTCTTCTCCACCGCCGCAGGGCTGGCTCCCACGGAGTCCCGGCGGGGCACGGGCACGGGGGTCGGCTGCAGAGTGGGCTGCAGGACGTGGGATGGGACATGGGGCGCAGGATGCAGGACGCGGGCCTGCTCTTCTGCAGCCTCACAGCGCAGCGCCCACCGCGGGGTGATGGGCTTCTGCGTTCGCCGGTCACGGAGGCAGATTTGATCCTCGTTGCTTTGATGGGATCCTCCCGATCTCCTGATGTCTGCTGGGGCCCTGGCTAGAGCTGGAGCTACATTTACCTCCCGGGGGGGCACGTTTTTCAGACCGGTGACAAAAAGCTCTGTGGGCAGCGAAAGCCCTGTCCGTCTGTCCTGCCACGCGTGCACGGACACGGCCTCCTGAGGCAGGGGTTTGGCTGTGGCGGTCGGGGCTGGGGGTGGTGCTGGGGAAGCGTGGCCTGGCTGGGTGGTGACCGGGACGGGCGGGAAACCTCCCACCGCCTCCAGCAGCCCTCACGCTGCCCGGCGAGGCGAGGGAGGGAGCGCTGGCAAAGCCTGCGTGGGAGCGATGGGGATGGGAGTGGGAATGGGGATGGGGATAGGGATGGGGATAGGGATAGGGATGGGATGGGAGTGGGGATGGGGATGGGGATGGGAGTGGGAATGGGGATGGGGATGGGGATGTGCTGGGGCTGGGATGGGGACAGGGATAGGGATAGGGATGAGGCTGCAGATGGGGATGAGGATGGGAAGGGATGAGGAGGGGGATGGGGATGGGGATGGGATGAGGATGGGAATGGGGATGGGGACAAGGACAGGGATAGGGATGGGGACAGGGATGAGCTGCCCATGTGCTGGCGGCAGCGGAGGGAAGCGCGGTGGCCGTCTGGAGCTGTCGATGACACCCAGGGCAGTGAAGGCAGGGTTTTGCCAGGGACCTTGGGCCACAGGGAGGGGCAGGGGCCGCGCTCCCCGGGAAGGGGGGGCCCAGCCCGGCACGGGTGCGGGGGAAGCTGCGGCGGAGTCTGCTGCAGCAGGAGGGGCCGCAAAGCCAGGGGCACCTGGAAAACGTCCACAGGGCAGCGAGCGGTGGCTGGTGCTGCGCTCCGCGGGCCTCTCCCCAGCCAAGCTCTGAGCCAGCCGCAGATCAGCCCGGATTTCTCCTCCTGGAGCTGGCGCCGGGGGCAGGCCCTTTGCTTGGCAGCTGGAGTCAGCCCGGGGGCCCGTCTGGACCAGTTGCACGTTTACGTGCCCCCCGGGAACGGGGCTGTCGGAGGGACCGGCCGCCCGCCCGCTGCCGAGGGCTGCTTCGCTTTGCCGTGTGTTTTGTCGTGGAAAGAGCAGGGTTTGCTTTCAGCACGTTCCTTTTTCTTCCTTGCAGCGCTTTTATGTATGCAGCTAGAAACCCTCCCTGCCTGCTGACAGCTGCACGGGAAGGCTTCAGGGATGTTTATAGGGGTTTTTTCTCTCTCATTTTTTCCTGTGGCTGCTGGGGCCTGTTGTTGAGATAAAGCAGACTTCCAACCAGGCTTCCCATGTTCTCAGGCTGTGGATGTTTAACTGCTGTTTCGGAGGGGGTGTTTCAGTGTCTGTGAAGGAAGGTGGGTCCATCTCTCCCTGGTTTCCAGGTCCCCTCTCCCTAGTGCCGTGCACACCGTTGTGGCGGCACCGGCTCTGCTCCATTGCCCAGCGGGGCCAGAGACTCCCCAGGGACGAGCCCAGACAGGGCTGGGGCTGGCCAGGCGTCGGCAGGGGCTCTGGCCAGCGGAGCCGGTCCTCCGAAGGGACCCTGGCCCCGACCGGCGGCGGATGAAAGGCTCCTTCCTTTGGGCTCTGGGATGCTGGGAGCATCCCCTCCCCCAGGCAGGCATTTGTCGAGGGGATCTGCGCCGAGCATCTCAAGGTTAGGTATTTAAGTCGCATTACCCATGCTAATACATGCAGCACGGAGCGAGCCTCGCCCAGGGCCTGACGGGGCTCCCTCGTGCTGCAACGCTCCCCCGCTCGCTCCCTCCGTTCGTGCACCAGGAACCCAGGCTGGCCCCGGCTTTGCGCTGATCCCCCTCGCTGCTCTGCAAGGCCGATTTTGGAAGTTGGCCGCGTTTCCTGGGATAAAACACGCTCCCCCTCGCTGCGTGCCGCTGCGCGCTCGCCGTGGGCCAGGCTCCGGCCGCGCGCGGGGCTCCTCGGCGGGCAGACACGCGGGGCTGAGCCGCGGGGGCTGAAATGCAGCGAGCAAGCAAGAGGCTGTCCCTCTGGGCTGGAGGCTGAAGCTGCCTTCGTGAGGCAGCTGCCTGCATGCGATCACCCTCCCGGGGGACGCGCTGCAAAGGAGCAAAAAGCCTTTTCCCTCCCAGCGGCGCCGGGGATGCCGGCGCAGCGCTGCTCCTCGTGCGAGCACGTGTCCCGTGGTGGTACCGGCCCCCCACACCGCCAGCGGCCCGGGCGGCCTGGCTCTGCCGGCCACGCTGCATCCGAACTCCGATGGGCAACAAAAGGAAGAGAGATGGCGGGGCAGAGCCGAGGAGCGGGGCAGCGCCTGGGCACACGTGCGCCCAGGCCCCAGGTCCACCCGGAGACCTCGGCGCTTCGCCCGGTTGCGTGGCTCCTCAGGGATGTCCCCAAGGCTGGGACTCTTTCTCCAAAGCGGGGCTCAGGTCCCCGCTGGGGCTCCCTCGGGCGGTCTCGCCTGCGGCCCTGCCCGGGCGCTGGGGG